CTTCTTGAGCTGTACGTAGGGTCTAAGAGAATGGAGGTTATATATAGCATTATTTTTCTGTTCTCTGATGGAGACTATTGTCTAACTTTGATACAGCCATGGCTTTCTAATTGTTGGAAGTAATTTGCCCAGAGTAATGCTCTCTGTTCACTTCATTTAATGTGACTTAATTTCATAACACTACAGGCTTTATCAGTAGTCAGAATAACCCCTGGAAAACCCCAGGAGGCAAAAATGCCTGTCGAGTTTAGCTGTTGAGGCTGGATGATGCCGCTTCGTGAAAAATGAAGTAATTGTTTTGAGGGGAAGAACCATCAGAAAATTACTGGGTCTATCAGAATTCTTTGTCTTTCATCAGTCATGTCATTCGGTCATAACTTGGCTTTTATTTTTGTGTTTATCACAATGCCTTTTTTTGTGTCTCTGGTAATACAGGAGTACTGTGAGACTTCCCTAAGCCTTTGCTACAAAGCGTCATACGCTTACTCATAAAAAAAGCCTCACTTAATTTTTTTATTGGCTTGAATTTGGGATATTACCTGTTGCAAACATGCACAAAAAGGCACAGGTATCTCTGTTTCAACTTCAAGTTGAAAGTGTCAGCTTACTTAAAATCATAAAAGCTGACGTGTTGTTCAATTATTATTTTTTTTTCCTAAAGAGAATTGCTTTCTGGTGTGATCAAGTATCCTGAAGTTTTCTGCTCTGCATAGCCAATATGGTTCTTCTCAATAGCTTTCTCTCCATAACTTGTATAGTTTGCAATAGCTATAGCTAAGGAATTGTGTGTAGTAAGGAATTTGCTTGGTAATATATTTTTTTTTCCTTAATATCCTTTTTTTCCTTAGGTGTCTAACATAAACTCTCAATTCTGCCCAGGGATCCATTTATACCAGCAACAGGTACCAATTAGTCAACTGTCTTGCCTTTGACTAATCAGTCTGCTGATTCGGAATGCTAAAAGTAACCTTTGAGCTGAATTAATATTATCTCATGTGTAATTCAGGATTGTTTTGACCCCTTTTTTCATGACACTGGTCATACGAAGCATCATTTAATGCCTTTATTCGGGATAGGAAAACGTCTTTGGAATTGTAAACACTTTAAACATGTTAATGGTGTAGGAGACTTCTCCCAAATACCATTTTGCAGCCAGAAGCTACTATTCTGCACCCCACCCATGCCCCTTCAGAAAAATAAAAAGTTGTAAAACAACGGTAGCAGCATTTCCAGGTTTTCACTCTGCTTTAATGGTTATTGCTTTGGGTTGATGGATTAGCCTTTGGTATTTGCCATATATTGCCAGGAGTTTATGACTTATAGGATATTGCTATGATCGAGGGCTTATGGTTCATCGATTTCTGTACTCTCTGGCCTCACGCCTTATCATTTAGGATTCACACTCTGTGTTCAGCATTTTGTGGTTTGCTGAAGTAAATTATAAACTCTTGAAAGATACAACTCATGAACTCCAACCCTTAAAGTAAGATCTGTTGTCTTCTTCCCTCACTGTCCAGGGTTCATCTCTCGGGTTTCGACAGTTTCATTCCATGCATTCAGCCTTCAGGAAGCTGCTCAGTTGTAGGAGAGAGCTGTAAGGAGGTATCTACTGTACAGCCATGCAAGATAGTGGAAGCAGAGATTTGAGCCTGAGATGGGGCTGGGTGGTACCTCAAGGATTTGAGAGACAGGGTTCGTGGTGGTTCCCCACCCACAAAACCCACCGAAATAGTAAAAATCTCAATGACTTTGCAGGAAAACTTGAGGCACCCCTCGGCCAGGGCTCCAACGCTGCTCCTGGAGACTTTATTCTCTTCCTTACCCTTCCCAGCATCTCCCACCGAGTTCCGGACCGGGAGCCGTCTGTCACCGTCCTGAGCTGTTTTCTCACGGCATCCCGTCCCGGGCTCTCAAAGACGTTCTCAAACCACGTCATCATCTTCCAATTTGGCATCGTCCAACCGATCTTCCCTGAGAATCGCTTTCAAACCGGCCCGGTCCCTCCCTCTTGCCTTCGGAAGTCTCACGGAGAGCCGCCTTTTCCCCCCCATTCGCGCCGCCCGGGGGGGGCGTGGCCTGGGCGGTGAGGGGGCGTGGCCGGGTCGGCGAGGGGGCGTGACTGGGGCGATCGAGGGGCGTGACCTGATTGGCCGGGGGCGTGGTCAGGACGGTCAGGGGGCGTGGCCGGGGCGCCCGAGGGGCGTTGCCTGAGTGGCCGGGGGCGTGGTCAGGACGGTCAGGGGGCGTGGCTAGGAAATTGTCTGTGCTACGAGGGGGCGTGGCCTGGCCGGAGGGGGCGTGGCCTTGCTCTGCCCTCGCGCCCGCGGGTTTTTCTCCAAGCCGCTCATTTCCCCACACTCTCCCTTCCTCTTCTTCTCTCCTTTCTTTGCTTTCCACCCGCTTTTTTGCCCTCTCCTCTTCCTCCCCCCCGCTTCCCCACTCCATCTCTTCCATCCTTGTTTCCTTTCCTGACCTCACCCCCGTTTTTCCTGCCATCCTTTCTTCTCTCTCCTTCCCCTTTATCCTTTCTTCTCTCTCCTTCCCCCTTCTCCCCTTCCCTCTCACACTTGGCCCCCATTTTTTCTTCTCCTCCCTTTCCCCCCATCTTACAAATTCACCTTCTCTTGTCCCTCCTGTCCTTCTTTCTTTTCTGTTTTCTTTCTTCCTCCTCTTTCCATCACCCTTCCCTTTAAATCCTCAGGGCTCAGCAGCCAGGGAACACCCCTACCCCCATGTACAGACCAGAGGTGACAACTGAGGTGATCCCAAAACACCCAAAATATCTTTTAAACCTTTGGGAGCTCAGTGCTCCCAAACCGACTCTGAAACAGTGAGACCAGGCTGTGCAGATTTATTCTTTTGCAGGGTACCATCTCAGGACCAAAAACTTGGAAGAGAAACAATCTGCCTTGATCTGTTCATTTTGGTGATGTATTTCTAAGGAAGTGCATAATTATAGAAGCAGCCTCGAAAGGGCAGCAAACAGGAAAGGAAAGAGCGAGGAGTGTTTGACAGAGCAAAAGCTGACTAAATGACCTCAGCACTTCAGCTGTTAAAAGCTTAAGGAATGGTGCTTAAGCGTTGTTTATAGGAAGTTCTGAGAGGGCGTAGCATGCGAGGAATGGAAAAATACCATGGAGGAACCCGAGGTTTTGCCTCAGGCCTGCAAGCTGGCTTTTGGCGTGGAGTCCTCGTTCTGAGCCCAGGCACGTCAGCGTGAGGAGGGCCCCGTGTGCCGTGTGGGGCGAGTGAGGGGTGAGTAGGGCTAGATCTCGGTGAGGACTGCTTTGTGACAAACTTCCATGGAGAGAAATGGGAGATGGGTCTGAAGGAATAAGGGATGTGGGCCTTTTATCTCCAAGGAGGTCCCAGATCTGTCCACTGGGATGTCCCTGAAGACAGTGCTGCTTCTGGGGTCCTCCAGGACTTGTGCTGCAGTGTCAATAGCCACGAGTAGTACCCAAGGCACTGCCACCCACACGCGTGTAGAACCCCTCTGGTAGATAGCCCCCACCTTCACCTGCTGCTTGGAAACTCACTCAGCCCGAGTGCTCTGTAGGTGCCACTTAAACCAGCCCCCAAAGCCCCTAGTCACTAAAACCTACCCCAAGACCACCCCCAAATCTGAAGTCCCTGGACCTCAAAACCACCCTCAAACTTGAACTAACCATCTCCTACAGTCTCAAAACTCCCCCTAAGGCCTGCCCAAGACCACCAATACCTCTGACAGCACCCCTTAAGCCTGCTATAACCCCCCCCCATCTCCAGTCCTGCTTTCTTTCCCCTGAAGTCCACCCCCAAACAATGCTCCAATACTCACAGCAACCACAAAAAAAGGTTGCATTGAAACCAACAGCAGCTTCGGGATTCATTAGTCAGCTCTCTTCATGAATCACACCTGCTACGGAAGGAGCAGGCACGGCGTGAGGAAGGATGGAGGCTGCAAGTGGAAGCTCCAAGGGTTGAGTGGAGTCACCTGAGCAGGTTGTTCAGCGGGTGAGGTGTAGGGTGGACAGAGCTGCTTGGGTCTGTAGAGGGGTCTTGGGTGCAGGTTTGTGGTTACCTGTGCATGTGGTGAGAGGTTCTCCATGCACGGATGTGCACACGCTGACATGCTTTATGGTGCAGGGGGCTTTTCCCCCGATTCTGTGTGCCTGTGGTGGTGTTTTGGGGTCTTCAGAGGAGGTTTTTACAGGCCCTCTGTGGCTTTTTTTGGTTCCAGGGAGCCTGGGATCCCTGAAGTGCTCTGCTCACCTCTTGGGCTGTTCCAAGCACTGCAGGAGGACACCTGTGGCTGTGAGCTGAGACTTTGCCAGGGTCTCTGGGGCTTTTACTCCCCTTTGAGCTCTGTTCTCAGCTTATTTGGGGTCTGCGGGGCGGTTCCTACCACTTCGCTGCCACATTTGGGCAGGCGGAGGGGGGTGATCTGTGAGGACCGTGGCCCTTCCTAGGGCCACGACAGGGCACTTTGAAGTCTCTGCCATTATTTTTGGGGCAGCCTGGCGATGCCCAGAGCCGGACTGCCTTGGGAGAGCTGTTCCAAGAGCCTCTGAGTCCCTTCCCGGAGGTCTGTTGAGGCGACCGCCCGTCCCCGGGACCGGGGGCGCTGAGCTCGGGGGCGCTGCGCTGCCCCCCCCTCCGGCGGGCCAAGACCTCTCTCTCGCGCGCGCGCCCCCTGCTGGCGGGGAGGGCACAGTGCAGGCCATAGGGTGGCGCATGCGCGTTATGGCGGAGGGCGCCCAGCCTTGACCCGACCCCCTTTTCCCCCGGTGCCGGAGGCCGTCGGGTCGCGCATGCGACGTGCCATCTGATTGGCCCACTCCACCACGTGATCGTGACGCCACGCTCAGCGCGTCTGCCGCCGCCATCCCCTCAGCGGGGCGGCCTGCGCATGCGCGCGGCGCCGCGGGGCCGCTCTCGCTCGGTACCGGCGCGTTTCGGTGCCGGGAGCCGCT